GGTATCTTGTCTCCGCGTCCAGGAGCGCCTTGCTTATGTAATAAATCGGTCTCTGGCAGTGCTCATACTCACGAATAAGTACCCCGCTTACCGCAAATTCGGATACGGATAAATACAAGAAGAGCATTGTCCCCTGGACAGGGACGGATAAGGTCAGGAGAGTCCTGAGGTATTCCTTGATTCCAGCCAGGGCATCTTCACACCCCTGGCTCCACATATCCTTCTCAGCGCTCCTGATGGCTCCGAAGAAGGGTTTGCATTTGTCTGAGAAGCGTGAGACGAACCGGTTAAGTGCTGCCAACATCCCCGTGAGCTTTTGGACTTCTCGGAAAGTTCGGGGGCTCCGGATGTCCAGGATTACTGGAATCTGATCCGGGTTAGCTTCGATTCCTCGTTGACTGACCAGATATCCGAGAAATTTACCCCGACTCCACTCCGAAAACGCACTTTGCTGCGTTTAGCTTCAGCCCGTACTCTCTGAGGGTGGAGAAGGTATCTTCCAAATGATCATAGCTTCATTTGCTCTTCACCAGCATATCGTCAATGTAGACCTCCATGGTGTTGTCGATCTGCCTTTTGAACATTCGATTTATCAGTCTTTGGTATGTTGCCCTGGCGTTCTTTAGTCCAAACGGCATCACTTTGTAACAGTAAACTCCCCTTGGAGTGATAAACGCCGTTTTTTTCCTGATCTGGGGGGTGAAGAGGAATCTGGTGATATCCTGCTCGGCCATCTAGGAAGTCCATGCGTTCATATCCAGCAATGGCATCCACTAGCTGGTCCACCTTTGGTAGGGGGTAGTCGTCCTTAGGACATGCCTTATTTAGATCTGTGAAGTCTACGCAGATACGCCATTTTTCCCCCTTCTTCTTCGCGCAAACCGTATTAGACAGCCATTCTGGGAACTGTATCTCTCGAATGGCGTTGGCCTTCAGAGTTTGTCAATTTCTTCGTTGACTACGCAGGCGTGATGCGGGGCCATGCGTCGTGGCTTCTGTTTTACTGGCTTGTGCACCGGGTCAACATGCAGCTTGTGCGTGATTATCTCGGGGTCTACTCCCGTCATCTCCATTGCGTCCCAAGCGAACACATCTGCATTTCTCCTTAGGAATTCAATCATCTCCTCCTGTTCGGCCGCGGGCATCGCGGTTCCAACTAAGAAGTATCTTTCTACTTATTCCTCCACCAAGGGCACCCTCCGGAGGTCCTCCACCGACCGTTCCATTGGGTCAATCTGGGGGTCATCCATTCCTGGACGCCCGGACTGTAATTGCTACTTTTCCATGATCTCTTTCGGAGTTCACCCCTTTTCTTGGGTGAAAGTCCCGGCTCTAACAGCTGAATAAAAATAGTTTTTTGCGGACGCTTGGTCCCCTCGGATCTCCATGATCCCCTCTGGCGTGGCGAATTTTAGTTTCTGGTGATAAGTGGAGTGCACCGCTCCCAGCGCATGTAGCCATGCTCTTTCCATGATCACATTATAGGGAGAGTCTGAATCAATCATAACAAACTCGGTGTTGATGACGAAGGGACCTGTGACCACTGACAATGTGATTTTGCCTATGGGCAAGGCGAACGAGCCGTTGAAACCGATTAGGGGTGTCCTGACCTTGGTGAGGTCCTTGAGGCCAAGACCCATCCGTTTTAAAGTGTCAGAGTACATCACCTCCGAGGAACTCCCGGAGTCTATCAACACCCTCTTAACGTCGAACTTACCTATCTTCAGGGTTAAGACATGGGTGTCGTTATGAGGAGTCACCACACCTGTCAAGTCCAAGTCGGAGAACGTGATGTTGGGCTCCCCAGTCCTGGCCCTTTTACTGGGTGGCCCCCCATCATCCTTGGCTATCTTTCTTGTAAAAGCTACCCTCTTGAGATCGGACTCGAGTTCCTCGGACGTGGGGCGATCTAGCGGACATACATGGATGACATCTATGATGTTGTCTGGCTCTTCGGTCGGGCAGGGGTTTTTCTTTCTACTGTCCTGGGCTCTATGTATTCTTTCAAGTATCCGTCTCGGACCAATCTTTCCAAGAACGATTTGTATACCCTGCAGCTTTCGGTGCGATGTCCGAAATCCCGGTGATAGGAACACCTAACCTTTTGATCACGGGTAGAGGGATCGCTCTGCATCCTGGGCGGCCACTTGAAGAGTGGCTCATGCTTTATCTTGTGGAGCAACTTGAAGATGGGTTCCTTGAACATAGTGTGAACTCCTTTGAACGACCCCCCCGGAGGGGGTAGCAGTCCCTTTCAGGGAGTATCGTCCCGCTCCCTCTCTTTTCTCTTAAATTGGAGGGTTCGGCCTTTGCTGCTTCCTATCTCGTCCTCGATCCTTGAGTACTTGTTTATCCGGGCCATCAGCTCGCCCATATCTGAGGGAGTCTTCTTGGTCAGGGATCGGTACAGGTCAGTGTCCTCAGCCAAGCCAAGCCTGAAAGACGCTGCTACCATGACCTCCGAGCAGCCCTTTACCTCATTAACCTCTTCCCAGTACCGGATGGCGTATTGGCGAAGGGTCTCAGATTCCTTCCGTCTGAGCGTCAGTAATGATCTGATGTCCTTAGGCCGCTTACTCCCCGTAATGAATCAGGCTAGGAACTGTCTCGTAAGCTCCTTCCATGATCCAATGCTGTTCGGGGGAAGAGCCTCGAACCACTTCATCGCGGAGTCCCCCAAGCTCATGGGAAACACTCGGCAGAGTAACCGTTGGTCTGAATGATACAGGGACATCATTTGCTTGTACTGCCTGAGGTGGGCTTCGAGATCGAACCATCCGTCATAAATTTTGAACCTCGGCACGACGAATTTTTTGAAACATCCATCTCTGTGATTCCCTAGTAAAGGGTGATTGCATGACCTCGTCTCCGGCATCATCCTAGACAGTCTTGTCATTTCTCCTGGATTCCAACCGAGCCCTGAGATCAATTTTCTCCCCAACGAGGTGTCTTGTGAAGTCTCCGAGTTCGTCAATGGGTCCCCCATTTCCTGGCATCGCGTGGATAGGGTTGAATCCTCCTCGGACCCATCTCCCTTCCTCCGTCTTGACAGTCCTCGTCGGAGGTCGTCCAGGGCTAAAGGTCTTGCCTTCCTGGAATGGTTGTTAAGAGGGCGCTCGTTGGCTCTTAGTCGCTTTGGGGCCCTGGAGCTTTCTGCTTTGTTGTTTAAATGATTCCTTAGATCCTTTGTTTCCGCCTCCCGAGCGGGGAGCCCACGAGAAAGGAATGAGTCCCTCGACCCTTCGCCGGAGGCAGCAAATTCGTTGAGCCGGCTTAGGACGTTCACATTGTTCTTTTCCAACTGTCGTAATCGATCTCCAAACTTTTCTTCGATCACCTCCGCTAGTTGGCGAGCCAAGGGGCGGTTCCTCCTGATCTGATGCCCATACTGGTATGAGGAGTAGCCCTCTTGACTGAATAAAGACATTTATATTCCCATCAGTGTGATCCCTCCCTCCACGGTGACATGGAGCTTGTAATTCGAGGCTTCTTTGTTGGGGACCTTTCCCTTTTTGTCGAGTATTCACCATGGTCACTGTTCTCTATAGAGAAGAAACTAGAAAAAAACTAGTCGTTTCCCACAGACGGCGCCAAATTGTGAGTGCTAGATCTTGCACAATATAAACACGAGAACAGATCTCTCCCTTGGTGAACCCGAGTGAGTCAGTCGAATGGTCAACCCTGCTGCCTGGGACGGCCTGTGAGATCCGGTGGTAACCTGGAACAGTAAAGAGAGACCCTCGTGGGTCAATGGAACGATCCAGGAAGGTTGAGGAAGGTGCCTGGAACAAAGAAACACAAGTTAGAAGGGCGCCGGAGTGTTTTTCGGCGTATCCCCTCCGACGATCAAGTCAGTTTTTGAGAGAGAGGAAGAAGAAAACACTGAGTATAATTCGTAGTAAAGATTTTTTTGTTCTCTCTCACCTTGCCTTTTGCGAGGAGTATTTATACCTCAAATACTCATGATTGCTGTCAGTGTGGTCAGTAGGTGATCATTAGATACAGGCAACGTGCGCACTGATTCCTACAAGGAATGTCTTCTCTTTTAATTGCTTGGGATCCCGAACAATCAAGGTTGTGTCATCGGCATGCCGACTATTTAATGAGCTCCTCTCGAGGAGGATGCAATAAATGTCCAGCGTTAGAGACATTTATTGTCTTTCACTTCCGAGCCTTACCGCATTGAATGCAGTCTCATCAAGGGAATGGTGTAATTAAACCCTTGCTTTCCCAAGTCGTGTGTCAGCAAGGACATGCGGTCTTTATGTCTCTGATGTGACAAAATATGCCACGCGTCCATTCCCGATTGGCTGTGGCCCCTGCCTTCCTGTGCCTTCTGACACCAATTGTATAAGACGAGGTCATGATAACTAACCTAGCCTAGCCTAGGCTAGTGACCTGTACATCAGTAGCTCTGCAGGAGAAGAGAATGCCATCCTAGACATTGGTACATATCGGTACCGAGGGCGGATTGGTACATATAGCAACCGAATTACCTATATCAAACTGAGGGAAACGTGTCGGTACGTAAACGTACTGGATGCCAATTGATCCCTATGACAAATACCTCGGGGGAGAGGGACTTGTGAACCAATGTATACGTGATCTCAGTAACAAGGATTAGTGACACCGATGACACGTGTCTTCATCTTGGAGCATTCCGAAAATATCCCATCAACTCCCCCCAGCCTTCGATCTTCTGACACCGAGGACACGTGTCTTCACCTTGGAGTATTTCAGAAATGTCCCATCAGCTATGTAAATCCTAGACCCTTGCATCACCTCATACAACAAAAATGATCTTAGGGAGAGGCAGTCTCTTATCAGACCCCTTTGGATAGACATTATAATGCAGAATTTTACTCAGTCCGATAATCGGTAGTCGACTTACCTACATTGAACTGTCTATCAATCTAACTGGGATGCTTGTACATTTGCTTCACATACTCTGCTAACGAATTTGCATTGAACTTAGGATGCGGATTGTCAACCTCATCATCCTATGGCCTCTCATATGCCAAATACTCTGCTATAATGTCCGATGTCACCTGTATGATCTGGCCCCTCACCATTGTCCTCAAGATCTTAAGATCCAAATCAAACTCCCTCAATCCATTATAAAACTGATGGCATAAAGTCAAAATATACCCCTCTACATTCTTAAAGGAAAAATTGAGTCCCAACTGCACAATCCGTCTAATTGGCACACCCTTCCGTAGGCTCCTATGATCCACCATACGCTCATAGATCTTACCCTCAATAATAGACTCATAAGAAGCCTTCTTCCTCATCCTAGGCTGGGACTCCAGAGGCTTGGGGTCTTGCTCCCTTATGGTAGCCTTTCCTTTTTCCTTTCTTGTTGCCCTCGGCTTTGAAGCCAAAGCTGATACCCCACGAATCTTGGCTATACCTACACACACAAAATCACCACTGCTAAGCAACACACCCAAGCCCAAAGCCATGAAACCAACCCATTCGAAGTGGAGCTCAAAGATTTCCTAGATGCCATGTCAAGAACCTAGGGTTTTCCGAGTGAGTGAAATGGGTAAAGAAAATAAGAGATTGATTTGGTGATGAAGGTGGTGGGGGAGAGTTTTTGGAAGTTAGAGAAAAGAAAGATAGAGTGGTTTTGAAATGAGAAGAATGAGAAACTGTCGGTCTTTCACCTTTAAAACATCGAAAATGTCATTTTTGACCTTCAACCTATTGATCAACTACTTCAACCAATTGAAGTCAATTTTCCCCTCTAATCAACCAGTTGAAGTCCAACAAGTTGGTTGTGCTTTTCTGATTATTTTTCCATTTTTTGTTCTCTTTTCTTTATTTAACTGACGCTAAAGCTTCCTAACACATATTTACATGCCCAAGACACCCCATTACCTAATTGCACACAACATGATAATTAAAATACATAAAACATGTACTAAAATACACATTACCTAAAGTTTAAGATGCATGTCAATTAAGGACATTAAATAAAACATAAACCCAATTTCGTAGGGTACTTGATTGCATTTAGCGAATGCACCAAGCCTTTACACCCTAGGTCACCTGTGGGAGATAGTTGTGTCTTGCGAAAGTTTTCAGTGAAGGTACCTAAACACTGTCTCATCCTGGACTTAGAACATATTACAATCTTTTAACTAGCAATCAGATACACTGATAATTCTTCCGTCAACTTAAAGGTATTTTCACACTCCTACATCCCAGATTTAAATGCTATGTATATGTAAAAGGATTCACATACACATTTCCATAAGAGACTCGTGTGTGTGTGAAATGGCACTGCAAGTTAAGAAATTTATCAAATAAAGCTCACATCTATATAAGCTATCCAAAATTAGCTTCGATGCAGGTCTCACCAAAGATTTGTCTCTCAAAACATACAACACTCTGATTATACTGACGTTTCACTCTATGTCTATATGTGAGACAAATTCCTATGATTAAAGCAAAGTATAGCTCACATATAATTCAAAAATGAAGGACAATCATGAAAATGAAACAATCTTGACATAATCTCATGAAAGGAATGCTAGGGAAAATGAAAGTAATACAATTGACCTATCTCTACTTGATTTAGAACATAAACTCGTCATAATTTCTGAGATCAAATAGGACTTTAACTGGTTGTAACGTGGCCTCAGGTGAAAATTGAGCTAAAGAAATGAAGGGATATAAGAGTTCAAAAAGGAGTTATCCTGAGAATATGACTTTACTAACCACATCTCCTCTTTTGAAATCAAATAGTTTCTATCTTCATTTCTTTTTTCTTTTCCCCTTTTTTTCATATCACTTTTTCCTCTCTTTTTTTTCTTTTCTTTTCACTTCCTCTCTTTCTTGTTTTCTTTGCTTTGCTTTCCATGAATGTTTAACAATATGCTCAAATATTCATTATCCCTTTTCTTCCATTCTACTTTGCTTTCCTTTTTTTTTTTTTCCTTTTCTTTCAACCATAATGCCCTTTTTCACAATATAACGCTATTAATCCCTAGATAACCAAGGTAGGATAAATATAAATTATGCATGGCTTGGTTAAACATGTGGCTAAAGAAATGAAATTTACATTCAAACTCAATCATGACTCTAGGGCTGATGTAAAGAATAATAGGCTATGGATCAACTAAAATCAAAGAATGCCTTAGATCATTTGCCAAAAAGACATGGCAAGGTATTCCCTTGTAGTGAAATTTAATCAAATAAATACCTCATTTATACTAACCAAAACAAAAATAATGAGATTATTGAAAAATATGGAATTTGAAAGAATATTCTTCTGAGTAAATGTAATTCAACCCTCCAATAAAGAATGTCACAAAAACTCACAAGGGTAATGCATTCATCTCCACTATATATGTCAAGCATTTTAAGATGTGAATCTTATTCAATAAATAGAAAAAAATTAGCATGCTCATGGCGCATATAGGGTTGAGTTTCACATGAAAACATGTGCATGATACTTAAGCATAGAATAAACTCTTCTAATGTTTGTATGCAAATAACTCAAGATTCAAGTCAAATAATCATCAATCTCATGCTAATTAAATAGGGAATAATACACTCCAAATCGGATGTTTTCTTTCTTATCTTTTCCATTGTTTTTGATAGCACCTTGAATATGCCTAAGGTTGAGCTCGGTTTCTCAAGTCATGCTCTCGAAGGTCGGGAGTTCAGTTGCCTGAAGACCTTGACTCTAGAAATCAAGCTCCCTGCATTTGCATCTCAAAGAAAGTGATGTAGAAGATAGCTTTCACCAAGCACCCCCTCAATAGCAATAGTCACTTATCCAGGCACAAGATTCATAATCGCACCAACACCCAACACGGTCGTTGCACAATAAAAGCAATTGTTACAAGAAAAAGGCAAGGATCTCGCCATAGATCTGGCTAGGCCTAGAGTCAACTATAAGGTTTAAGAAAATACAAGAAAAACTCAGCCACATGAAAGAGGTTGTAAGAGGCAAGACCCCTGTGAATATGGACGCCTTGGTTCAGCAGACTAAGTCTCCATTTACTGCACAGGTGCTGCATTTTTCCCTTCCACCAAATGTTAGAATGCCTTAGATGGAGATCTTTGATGGAACGAAAGATCCCATGGACCATATTAATACTTACAAAAATCAGATGGAGCTCTATGGATATCAAGACCCAATGCGGCGTCAAGCTTTCGCCATCACATTAAATAGCTCAGCCTTAACATGGTTCATTAGGTTGACCCCAGAATCCATATCCTCCATTAGAGAGCTCTCCATCTCATTTGTCTCACACTTTATAGGAGCTCAGACTTATCAAAATCGAGCTACCACTTGTTCAATGTAAAGTAGGGACTTAACGTGACCCTACAAAGCTGTGTTCAGAGGTTCAACACAGAATATTTAAAAGTAAACTTCCCCAATGAAAATTTTGCCTACCTTCATTGCCGGGCTGGGTATCTAGTCAAAGGACTTAATGTTCTCCTTTTCCAAAAATCCAAAATCCAGCATGGTAGAAGTCGTTACCAAAGCAAAGAAATACATCAATGACAATGAAGCTCTCTTTTCCAAGGCAGGGAGCTCAACCACGCACAATGAGAAGGAGAATAAGAGGGACTTAAGTCCTAGAAAGGAGAAGAGTTGAGACAGGTCTCCACGAAGAGACAGAGAATGCTCTCCAAAAAGAAAAGGATACATCAGAGACCGCCTGGGTTCTCCACCCCAAGAATTACAGCTGAGATTCACACCACGATAGTTCACTCCTCTTAACGTCATGGTACCCTAGGTCCTTTATAAAGTGTAGAATAAGAAGTTCTTGAGGTGGCCACCCAGAATGGAGGCAAATTCAGCAAAACGGAATGCAACAAAATATTGTGAGTATCACAGAAACCACGGTCACCACACTAATGACTGTATCCAACTGAAGAAAGAAATAGAGTTCCTGATTCAGAGAGGCCAGTTATGCCATTTCGTGGCACAAGACAATCAAAACTAAGCTCACCCGCCCCCAACACCTCAGTAGCAAGTTCTAACACAACACCAACAGCTCTTGGGAGAAATTAGAGTAATTTTAGGACGATTTGTTGGAGGTAACAAATCCAACTCAGCCAGGAAAGCCAATATGTGCAAAGTCCGAGCAGAGGAAGTGTTGGAGGTACAGGATATGTCCAAAGCACCTTGGGTGAACATGGACATAACCTTCTCAGATGCAAATCTGGAAGGCTGCCAGAATCCCCACGATGATCCCTTGGTGGTAAGGGTTATCATCGCCAATAGAACCGTCTACCGGGTTCTAATTGACAATAAGAGCTCTATTGATATCATCTTCGCATCCACCTTCGACAAGATGGATATAGGCATAGACAAGCTTGAACCAGTGAGGAATCACCTACTAGAATTTTCTAGGCTCAATCTAGCTCGTCCTTACAATATGAGACCCACCTTGCCAATCCACCACCTCAGTGAGATTCCTGGTAGTTGATGCCCCTTTAACATATAACGTTCTGCTGGGGAGGCATTCCCTCAAAGCCATTAAGGTCATTCCTTCTACCTACCACCTTGTAATGAAGTTCCTCACCAAAAATGGCGTTGGAGTGGTCTAAGGAGACCAACAAGTGACACGAGAATGCTACATGGCGTTTATAAAAAAGAAAGAGGTCGTGACTATACAACTAGATGAGTTCAACCTGAGGGATGAGCTGTAGACAAAACCCATGCCTTCGGAAGAACTAGAGCTTATCCAGCTCGACGAGAACCAGAACATTTGGTGTACGTGGGATCAAAGCTAGTCAAAGATGTTAAAGACCCCCTTATTCAATTCCTTAAGAGGCACATCGAGGTATTCGCCTAAAAATAGGAAGATATGTAAGGAATTGACCCCTTAGTCATCACGCACAAGCTCAGCGTGAACCCAACCTTCAAGCCTATCAAGTAGAAATGAAGAAGTTTCGTTATAGAACGCCAAAAGGCAATGAATGAGGAGGTCTCCAAGATGCTCCAAGCCAAGGCCATCAGGAAGGTAGATTATCTAATCTGGCTGACCAATGTGGTCCTTGTAAAAAAGGCTAATGGTAAGTGGCATCTATGTATCGATTTCACTTACCTAAATAGAGCCTGCCTAAAGGACAGCTTCCCCTTACCTCAGATTGACCTGATCATGGATGCCACAATTGGGCATAAGCTACTTAGCTTCATGAATATTTTTTCAGGATACAACCAGATCAGGATGGATCCTAGCGACCAAGAGAAGACGTCCTTTGTGATTGAGTAGGGGATAAACTACTACTAGGTTATGCCATTTGAGCTGTAGAACGTTAGAGCTACTTACCAGCATCTGGTGAACAGAATGTTCTAGAAGCAAATCGTGACATCAATGGAGGTGTACATTGACGACATGTTGGTCAAGTCGTTGAAAGCTGAGCTCAATATCAGACACCTAG